AACAATGTGGGATTCTAATAGTATGGATTGCAATGGACAAAACAATTCTAGTTCAATATATTGAATTGAATGACTAAGATCTCTCATCGGAGATCTTGACATGAGGCTCCCAATTCGAAACTAGGGTATCATTATGGCAAATCTAAATATTCTTCAATATCAGTGGCAAAAATTAGCGTTCATCACAATCTTTGTCGTAGTCAATATAAATGCATCTCTTGGAATTGAAACAAGTGAAAAGATTACTATCATGTAACATTACTTATGCCATCAGGCTTTAAGAAACTCAAGTCGTTCTAAATATGTTTGGAACAACTTTGAAAGGCTTATCGGCACAAAGCGTCCATATGTTTGGTCTTTAGTCTGCAAAATGTCCATACGTTTCAAATTTTTACATTTTCACCTCTATTTTCATGTTTCATTGTTGAAAACATCATTTTGTCCATCTATTGATAGTGCAATTGTTAAATGCACACTTGAACTTAGTTTTATTTTAAAACAAGAAGGGTAAAATGGTAAAGCCACTTCAAAAAAAAGTCTTTTTTTTTCTCGCAAGAGCATAACAGACATGCATAGCACACGCACGTTTTCCTTTCGAAATCTCAGCATTTCACTTCCCTCTCGTACCCATTCCCTTCCTCCCCTTCTCCTATCATCTTAGATTTGTCATCCCATCGTGAGATGCTGTATACACGTAGTGGGTGAATTGGAAGAATGAAATTTTTACTAGTTTTTTTTATTTGTTTATTTTTTTATAGTTCATTTGTGAATTGCAATTTCTCGCAGTGAATTGTAAATCTCTTCAGTTGATAAGTGTGAATGATGAACTGAATAAGAGCCAAAATGTGTCTGAATGTTGTGGCTTTTTATTGTTGAATGCTGAACAGAATATATAGTCATGATGAACTCTTTTGGTTGTTACTTCATTCTCTTGCTAAGTTTGTTTTTGTTCAATTTTCGTTCAACAATTGTATTTGATGTGTTTATTGATATCACAATTTATGAATTTGATTGTTGTCTTTAAATTGTAATTTGTTTAACAGTTATATTTGCTTTTTGAATAAAATCTAGAGCAAGAATTTGTCCATGTTCGTGATCATTGTCAATTGCAATTAAAGGGATAGTTACACATTACCTCTCTAAGATAAAATTTCTAATCTTACCTTCCCCGCAAACTCTACATCCTCAAAGAAATTGACCTTGCAGTATGACTTATTTGGGGTCTAAATTGAAATATTTGATAGTTCTTCTAACAAAATATATCCTTATTTTTTGTATTTTATATTACATAGGTCAAACTCAATGGTTGAACAGGGAATCGAAGAAAGAAGCGAAAATTGGTGAAAAATGACAAAATTCAAAGTTTGAGAATCAAATTGGAAATATTCAATAGTTGATTCGGACCACAAGACGATACTTCAAAGATTGTTAGGAGACAATTGGATAAAATTAGAACTCAAAAAGTAATGAAATATAATCAAAATCAATTTCCAATCGCATAAATTATATTCCATATTTTTATCCGAATATCGAGACCCATTTTTGGTACGGTAAACGTC